AATTAAAGAATTTTTTAATTATTAACTTTGACTAATCATATGATATAAATATAATTTTATATATAAATAAGCTTTATCTTAAAAAATCTATATATTATATAAAATTATATGACCTGAGAGCCTGCCTGGTATAATATATTAAATATTAAATATTTAAATATATTTATTATAGATATATTTATCCTGTCTGCTATCTTTTTTATTCAGGCTTATATAATAAATTTATATATTTAAACTATATTAATTTTATATATACTAATTGTAAAGATCTATATACTGTTTATAATAAAAATTATAAGATTTAAAAGAAGCTAGTAAGATTATTAAATATTTTAAGAAAAATAAAGTTAAATATTATTTAAAATCTTTAATTATAGTTTAGCCAGTTGTAGTACTGACTATTCTAAATATATTTTCAGTATTTAAAACTAATTAAGAATATAATTTTCTATCTGATAAGAAAGATTATAAATATATAAAATTATTTAAATTATCAGAATTCTTAGAATTACCATGTGAGTAAAGATCTGTTAAATACTATAAAATTTATTAATTTAATTTAGATACTTATATTTCTATAGTAATAATACTGGTAGTGGTTCTTATATGTATTTATATTAAAAATAATTTATTCAAATATTAACTAATCCTGACTAAGCTTTGTAAATGCTTTTTAAAAATAGTTTTAAAATTAGAAATAATTTTAGAATTTTAATTAAAAAATAATATTTTATTAGGGCCTGAGTATTTCTAAAGTAAAAATAATAAATTTAATTAAGTAAAAACTATAATTAATACAGAGATTTTAAATTAATAAATTATATAGTTCTTAATATCTGATTCAGAGATTTCCAGCTAATCTGTATTATTAAAAATAATATTTAAATATTCTGGAAATATCTGTGATATTTTTTAATTTATTTTAAAAATAATAATTTAAGATAAGGACTTCCTGGAAGACAGAGAGAAAGAGTATATATAAATTAATTTTCTTTAAGTAAAGCTTGATAAATAATTATAAATAAATTAATTAATATAAAATATATATCTCTCTGTAAAATACCATGTAAGAGCTAGTAGATTAAAAGATATTTAATAAATTAGAAATAATTAGTTAAGTCTACCAGTTAATAAGTATTAATATAACTGCTAAGAAAAGTATTAAAATTAATAAAGTTATTAGAATAAATAAAATTATTAAACTTAGTACTAAGTCTGTAAATACTATAAATATATTTAAAAGATATATCTGATCCAGCTCTGATAAGGAAAATAATAATTATATAATTAATTTTATAAGTTTTTTAATATAATATTTAATATTTTTTATATAGGGTCATGACCTTTTTTTTTCAGGATTTTAAAATTTTTAATTATAATATTATTACTATACAGGAGTCATAGATTAATTTTAAAGTAAATATAATATATTTTTTTTGGTAGTAAAAGTATATTTTAATTTATATTAAATTAGTATGCAGGGACCCCATAAGCTTAAAATATATATATTTATTTAAAAGATTCTTTCCTGGAATCTGGTATATTATAATTAATATATTATATTTATATATATAGTAATAGAGAACTGTATTAAGATTTTTATATATAATATATATAATTCTTTATAAACTAAGATAAATAAGGGGGTTTACTACCTTGAAAAAACTTTATTAAAAATAGATTCTATACCTAGAAAAAAGTAATATATTATAATTAATAATTTTAATATTTTAAATTTAATTTAGAGTAAATAGATCTGTATACTAGGAGTTTATAATAAAAAATATATAAAGATTCTTTAAATAATTATTAAACAGAGATTATTAATAATTATTATACTGAAAGATTTTATTATAAGACTAATTATTAGAATCTAAGAATAGAAAGACTTATTTATTAATTAAGCAGTAAATACTTTATAAAAACTAGATATTATATTAGATTTTATATTAATTTTATAGGATTTATAATATCAGATGAAATATATTTAATTAATCTTATAATTAAATAAGATATTTAATTACTATTTTATTAAAATAAAAATTAATATTATTTTGTAATCTAAGGAGCCAGTATTCTATTATAATTAAAAAATTGTAGATAAAATAAAGTTTTAGTAAATCCTGACTATAATCCTGCTTAAATAGAATTAGAAATATTTTTTTAATTTAAATATTAATTTTAATAAAAATATAATAAATTTTATAAAAGTTATTAATAAGGCAGCTGAGATCTTTATTTCTTTAATTTAATTAAATTTTTATATACAGCTGAGATTCATGTCTGTATACAGAAAATTATAAATATTTATTAAATAAGTTTAAAAAAAGATTATTTAATAATAATAAAAGTATTAAATGAGAGTACTTAAGGCAATAATACTGGAAATAAAATATTAGTATAATTATATATAGATTTATATTAAAAAATATTATATATTTATTTTCTGGAAATAAATTAAACAGGTTACTATATCTAATAGTATATTTAAATTATAGAATTTAAATAAAAAAATTAAAAATTATATATTTTATTAGATCTTCATGCTCCTGATTATTAAAAATAGTATTTTATATTTTAAATTAGATAATAAAATAAAGATTCTAATAAAATTATTTTTTTTATTATTCTTTATTATTAATCTGGTAAATATAAAGGATTATAAGTATTTTAATCTGCTTAATATATTTTTACTAATAAATTAAAAGATTAAGATTATAATTAACTAATTTAAAGTAGATAAAATATCTAGCCTGGATAGTATTCTAAACAGAATCCTGTAAGTAATTAAAAATATATTTATTTTTTAATTAATATATTTATTTAATATATGCTTAACAGCGGACAAGTATTTAAATTATTTTTAAAAAATTAAAATAATTATCTTCTATAAATTCAGCAAGGATGACTATTCTAAATTAAAATTATATTAATTAATTATATTACTTAATATTTTTAGTAAGATCTTTAAGATATATATAGCTATCTGACTTAGTTATTTTATAAAATAATATTATCTATTATTAGATAATTATTATAGTAGCTAGAAGAGACAGAATACTGAATTAATCTTATATATTATAATTAAAATTATAAAGTTTATCTGGAAGTAGAGAGACATCATAATTATTTTATTTTTTAATTATTAGGGTTTTAGCAGAGAAGAGAATACAGAATTTAATATAGAATTATAGAGATATAATTTTTATAGTTATTATAAAAGATTAAGAATATATATAAAATTCTGTAAATTTTTATAATTATAATAAAAAACTTATTTAAAGACTTATATGAAATCTTATAGATTTTTATAATTATAGAATCTTTGATTAGGCAGGGAACAGGAGCAAGCAGGTCTGGAATCTTATAATAAGATTTTTTATAAAGTTTATGTGAGATAAAAGTAAAGAATATAAAATAAAAAAGTAAGAAGAATATATAAAAAGAATTAAAAAGAAAATATAAATAGGATTAAGTGGGTTCTATAAAAAGATATTCTTATAAAATTATTTATAAGATATTTATGAGGAAATAGTTATATGTATTTTAATTAATTAGATTAAACTTGAAGATAGCTTCATGTTTAAATTATAGTATTTAAATAATATTATAAGATTATGAGGATTCTATATAAGGAAGAAATAGAAATTATTAGAAAAGAAATAGGGTCCTGTATATTAGATTCACAGTTTAGAGGCTTGTTTAGACTGTAGGCATCCTGTAAGAGCACCCTGGCTATGCTATATTAGGGTAACCCAATTTATCTATCTATCTATCTATCTATCTATCTATCTATTTATCATGTACTAGATGTCGCAGGGTTGATTAGTGAAGATATGTGTGGGAAAGTGCTGAAGTATATCTAAAAGAATCAGTGCCAGGTTATGTAAATGTTTTGGGGGGGTTTCTGAGACCTTGTAATATTCCTTGGGAGTATACAAGATAATCTGAAATGAGGAAGAAATAAATATTATAGTAAACAAAAAAAATAAGAGAGAAGAGTAGATGAAGAATGAAACGAAAAAGATAGAAAGATAAAAGAAGAGAAAAGAAGAGAAACAAAGAAACGAGAGAAATCAAAGAGAGAATAGGACAATAGATGGAAACGGAAAGCAACTGGGGAAAGAAAACCGAAGAATTAGGACAAAGCGCACGGGAAAGTACAGCAGGGCTTCACCCTTAATTATCATCAATCCGATTCATCAAGGTACTTATTCTACTGATTTTATTTGAATGGTAGCAAGTATCAGTACCAGTTAACAGGCGGTTTTTTCATCATCATAAAAGGGGTCAATATCATAAATATATATTTATTACTCTTACTTCATTCAATGTATAACCATAATAGTGAGTATACTAAAGCAATGCATGCTTCTAATATAATAGGCTAAGCTATGATAATAACTTATCACGACGAGGATAATGCATAAAGTATATTACTGAAGTATTATAATTAACGGTTACAGGAATCCTAATAAATCATAAAAAAATAATCAAATTTACTCCGAGCGCTGCCTTTACCGACGCTTTCTGCCTGACAAGTCCGCCTTACAAGTATTAACTAGCAGGGGTCTGTAACATCTAGCTACTTTTCATATCTAAGCAGCAGCTAAGATAACAAGTGAGTCCGTTTTTCCTTTTTTCCATTTTGCTAACCTCCATTTAATGCTTCATTCTATTAGTCTGTGGGTACTTCCAATTACTGCAACGCTGCCGGTAGATGCTATTCTTGAATCAGACAAATTACGTCACGTGCGGAAGCATGAGAGACGGAAATCTCGCAGTTCCATGGGATAGTTAACTAGCCGACTCGGTTGTCGCTTACTACTAGTATATTACTTAAAAAAGAGACAGAGGTCTTACATTTACACCAATCAGCGAAAAGCGGCAGAAACCCCAAGCAAGCAGAACGGTCAGCACGGCGGTAGGATTGGGAGATGGAACTAGTCATCTGACTGACAGTCCTACTATCCTCTCGTCTTCAGCTACCACCGCCTTCCCGTCACCCCAGAAAAAGCAATGGCCAGAAACAAGAATATTGCGCAAATCAAGCGACGACAATGGACTGCTCAGTTTTATTCAGACCACACCAGCCAGCCTGCAGCTCTGCTAGCCTACAAAGCAACCACACCGGAACCTGAGGCGATACATCCAGCCTTCGCAATCCAGGTCTATACGACTGTTGCCCTCGATCAAGAAAATGATCTCATCGCTATATGCCGATACTTATCCCGTGAGATCTCCACATCACCCTGGCCGTCATTTGAGATCTATTGTGCCCCACAAACTGATGTATTCGCCTGCGTGGAGCATCAACGGCGTGAGATCTTCCACCGCAAGGACATCTCATCATCTCAAGATGATGGTTTCTTCCCTGGAATCGCCAAAGTCGCCCTCAGCAGAGAGGATCCGGACCTCCAGGGACTTATATTAGTTATTATGTCCTACAGTTTCCGCGGCCATCCGCATTATGCGGATCATGAAGCCGAAACCGGACCTTTGTTCGTCAACTTCGATCGCTGTTTCCCGTACCAGGCTCGCGTTAACCTGCCATCACCCAACCGTGATGACGACGAGGGATGTGAGGAGGAAATTTGGCCGGAACAGGAGGAGCTTGTGGTCCGCAAGTGCCGGGATATCTACCATGTCCGTCGAGAATTGGCCTCCCTTCACATTCGAAGTCAGCGTGATGATGTGGTTGAGGATTGTGTGTACGACTACGGCCTGGGAGAGGATGAGGGTGACCCTAACCGGTCGATTGAACTACCTACGCCGGAGGTTGTAGAGGCGTGGCAGCGCAGAGCTGACTCACTGCCTGATGAAATTGCTGTTATCCAGCCATCCTCCGACATAGGGTCTGTTGTCTTGACATCAGGCGCTGTGCCTATCCTGGAGCCAGAACTCAGGTATATCATATACGTCACATTCACTCACAGCAACGAAAGTCCCTTGACGTTGCAGATGATTGGGCGCGCTTTCACTGCCGCGATCCTGGAAAGCCTCCCTGAAGGAAAGACAGTATACTTTGAATTTTATTCGGCCCCCAACAAGTCAATAGGCGCCACTCTGTCGTCTCATCGAGAATTAATGAAATCGCGACCCGAGATGGGAGTGGCCGTTTCCCCGACCTCTTTAGGACAAAGTGCCCGCAAGTTTCCACAAAAGGGGTACAACCGCGAAAACCCCAGGCACAGGGAACCCTACCAGACTTTTTTTGTGGTCCTTGACCGCCCGGACTTTCTCACCGGCCCAGGGGTGTTGTTTTTCTTGACAGATGGAGATGAGATTACCGATGAGGCGATGCGAACCGTGTACAAATTATATATGGAATGGGAGCAACCTGGCGATTACGACATATTTCGGGTTTGGCGCAGCATAGGAATCCACGAGGCGGCACTAAGGCTGGCAATGATTCATTGATTTCTGATTGGACAAGCTTCCTGTAGTCATTATTGCACCATCTCCTGTGCTCCTTGATCTCGAATTACCCCCATCCCTCGTTGGGTCTCTTTCGTTCTCAGTCTCTCTCCCTGGATCTTCCCTTGTTCACCTGTCCACATACAAACGCTGCACTCCAACGCTGCCCACATGGCGCCCATAAGCCCAGAGAACAAATTTCTCAAACATCTTTTGGCTATCCTCGGTATTCTCAAGGGGGGACGTCCTTTATTTTATTCCCTGCCTCAAGTGTTGTCAATTACACCCAGTCATGCGGTGCAGCGCTTTTATCAAACATCACTGCTTGTGGTGCTGTTGTTCCGGCCTTTTCTCCAAGTGAAACATACAGCGAAACAACATTGAAGTCATTCTGCACTACCGAATGCAGCATTGCACTGGTGCAGTGGACACAGGCTGTTGACAGTGCTTGTGATGGGGTGATGTATGTAGACGATGCTGGGGCAATTCTACCTTTATTCTCCATTGCAAGCTCTTTATCATACAATTTCAACCAAATCTGCCTGACAAGCAGCGGCGAATACTGCAATATAGTCCTGGGAAATCTTACCGCATCACTAACTGAAAACTCCAGCGCAACGGTCATCTGTGACGACTGCTATTTGCTTTCTTTGTACAATGAGGCGCTATTCGAGTATGGAGATGGGCCACTGGTCCGTTCTAGCAGTCTGCTCCAAAGTTACACCTCCCACTGTTCGTATACAGGTTACACCCTGCCGCCGACTACTTCCACCACTTTACTGTGAGTTGAGAATTCCTGCAAATTACGTCCCCCTTGATCGGATAGACAGGGGCTAAATCCGTCATCTATGCCATAGGTCATCATATATTGCCACTTCTGCCTCCGCAACAGCAACCACAGCCGGTTGTAGCGGGCTTTCCTATGCCATCCAGTCTGGGGACACGTGCACGTCTATCAGTCTTTCTGAGGAAATCGGCACCACTTGGTTACTAATGGATAACAATCTTCCGGCTTCTTGTGCGGACTTCCCAGCTGACGGTACCCTTTGTCTGATTAATACATGTGAAGTATACACTGTACGGTCAGGAAATACTTGTGACAGTGTTGCTGCTGCACATAATTTAACCGTGGTCCAGCTGCAAGCTTATAATCCTAACATCGACAGCGGCTGCTATAACTTCAACCGGACTATTGGGTATCAAATATGCGTGAACGAGCCAGGACAAAAGTACACCATACCATCTACAACAGTTGGCGCGGCTACAGTCATTTCCACGGCTGCCGCCGTGCCTACCGACAATGCTTATAATACCACCCAGAATTGCGGCAAATATTATTTGGTCGCCGCTGGCGATGATTGTGATGTAATCACATTGACCTTCGGTATTTCTCTCGCAGATTTCCGGGTCTCAATCCAGAGATAAATGTAAATTAAGTCTGCCTCTCGAGCTCTTTCTCTCCTTTTCGTTCGCTCTTATCAGAGCATTGACTCCGGCGGCACAGTTGTACCAATCTGGATGCGGAAGAGAGTTACTGCGTCGCTCCAGTATGCAGCAGTAAGTTATGGCCCCTTGACGCTATTTTTATGAAGCTTGCAAATATTTGACCACGCACACGCTCTCTCCCATCTTAGTCGATAGCTACCCTAATGCCCCTGGATATACGGGTAGTTCTGTGGCCACCTACTCGACCATCGCGTATTCTGCCCTTCCCAATTCAACATATACTCCCATATTCTCTCTAACTACCTTGCCTCTGGCGCCATTAACACGAACATGATGCTATATATACGCTGACGGGTCTGATCTCAAGTACAACATGACTGGAGTAAGCGACTGTCTCGCCGCATCGGTTTTCTGGGCATTCAACCTCACCACGGACCTGTCGGTCTGGAATCCCTCCATCGTGAACACCACGGCGGATAATTGCACATTTGACGACAGCTATAGATATTGTGTAATAGCAGACGCACCCCCATCTCCACGGGTGACATTATAACGGAGACATACACTTTGACGGAGTACTCTTCAACCCAGATAAGTGGATCTTTAGCCACAATCACAGGCATACCAACGACGATCTCGCCGGCCACCGGGGGCCCGGTAAGCACCAGTCCCACGGCTACGAGAGTCACCATCACTTCTTCTTCGTCTTCTTCCATGCCAGTACCATCGCCAACCCAAGCCGGAAGTATCTCTCGCAACTGCAACCGTTACGAACAAATCGTGACTGCCTTAGATCTCTGGTATCTTTGAATTTTCCCGCCCGCATAACATCTAGCGCTTATAGATACTGGTTCTACTATTAAATTGACGTTGCCATGTGTGCATTTAGACACCTCCGCGGAATTCAGTTCTTCCAGCTAGTGCTTATAAGCGGGGCGCCACTATCAGTTCTTTGGTGCGCTGCGGACCTCGTCCGACGGTTGGCTTGAGGGGTTCTCTTGGCGGCGAAGCCAGTTTCAAACGATTGTATCCGCATCTGCAGTTAGCCTGCGCACGTGACAATTTTCTTACTTTATTCTTTTATTTTTTCCTTTCCGTTGCCAACGCGTGACTTTGGCGGATGTTTGTCATACAAAGATAAAGCAATTCTTGCTTCTTGCATACTCATAGTAGTACACAGCAAAATCATGCATTAGCCACATATGGCGGTGATAACTTGTTGGACAGTAATCTCTCTGTTACTGGCCTAACTAGATGCAATATATTATGGAAGGCGCTACCGCCACACCAGCTAGGCTTTCTTTATACCGGCCTTCGCTCATGCCACACCTGTCAGGATCCTGCCTGGTGTGCTTCAGGCATGATTCTCCGGCTGTCTAACGTATGGACTATCCAATAAAATACTAGAATCCTGAGTCAATAGACTCAGAATATATATTACTTATAAGCCTTAATTTACTATCTTCACAATTATGTGACAGGCTGTTATAATATCCTCGGCTATCCTCCGCCTACCTTAGTAAGTAAGGCTTGCTTTGTATCAGATAAAGCTTACTTTTTAAGTCAGGCAGGATCCCACTACCTTCTTATTTTAAATATATGCTGTCTGAAGTCTAAATCTTTTCTGCCTCAGGTGATGGTAATTCTAAAGTAGTAAGTGGTAGAAATCTGCCTGACTCAAAAAGCAAGCCTTACCTAAACAGAAGTGAGCCTTATCTAAAAGGAAGTGAGTCTTATTTACTAAGGTAGGCAGAAGGTGGCCGGAGGGTGTGGCATAAGCAGAGGCCGGTGTGGAAGAAGCCTGGCTGGTATGGCGACTGTCTCCTTATATTATTCTTAGTCTAGTGGTTAGTGCGCCGACATAATTTCTCGCGTGTGGGCATCATCTAGCATTTTGGCGACGGAAATTTTTGTTCTGTCTTACTAATGCCAAGTCGCCGGTGCAGGCGCCGGGTATCTATTGACCGTGGTTGGGTCAGTCAGAGCATAGACAGTTAACTCTATATGTCTTACTTTGTACTTCAGCTACAGACACTCTGTAGGCGGTTGTTCCACTGAACTATCAAAGAGACAGTGGAGCTGCGTGCTCGGCGTCTATGTACGCAATATTGGAGCAGTGAGGTCCTGTAACTACTAATTCAAGGCCAGCTGTGGGTAATGATATTTTTCTCGGCCTTTTAGTTGTGACTCGGTCCCTTGGGATGCATCATTCGAGAATGTCTATGCCAATCGCTAAACCTCGATTATCCTTGCTATAGTGCTGCTTCCTGCGCCCTCTGTTACTTTCAAACTGGTCTGCCTTAGCCACACCGGCTGGAGCTCGCCGACCTTCGAGCCCTTGGACTACCTCTGGTTTCCCGCGAGGTTGAGTCCCTCGCCAGTCTCTCTTCTCTGGTCTGTGCGTCGGCTCTTCCCGCAGACTGACTATCCCTCTTAGCGTACTGCCAGCATATTTTCCGGAGAAGGAGGAACAACGACGTGCCCAGAAACTAGTCTCCACGCCCTCAACTGTACTAGTTCTGAGCTAGTGCTTGAACTAAGCGGGTCTGACTCCAGCTTCGCCGTTCCCGCATTAGTCTTAGCGTTCTTCTATGCCCCTGGATAAAATGTGGCTACGGTTGAGTTACGACATCTCCAACTATAGGGATTCTACTTTGGCCCTGTGGATAGGACCAGATGATTCTTCTGGTGCCTCAGATACCTGCTACATTAGTTTGCAAGCAATGATCAAAAGGGCCCAGGAGGCTTCAGCAAACCGCTGCGCAGCGTGAGAACCATGAATGACTCCATATTCTTCAACTTCTATCGTGAGCGCGTTGGGGTCACAGTAAAATATAGTTTATTAAGCAGCCTAGAAAGGAGAGATTATTGAAAGGCCACTCATTGACGCTCTTGTTCTCTTGTTACGTCGGATGTAGGGCTTGGCGGTAGGTATTTTACTGTTCAGCTACGGCGTTAGTTTGGTTCAACGGATGTACGCCGGCAAACATCAGGCCATGGCCAAGTGCGCCAACGCCAACATGCCCCACGATATGAAAGACTTGTTGAAAAGTTGGGACCGTAGTTGGGCACATTGTTGCATCATTGTGCACCATGTTGGCAGTGATGGCCGTGGGCCTTGGTCAGGAGAGGTACATGTTATCTACTCAAATACAGAGTACGAGGCAGAGTTCGGCCGATGCATAGATTCAGGAGGTAATTGCTAAATATAACACAACGTCAAAGTCTTTGAAAGGTTTCTACATCCTACCGCCTGACTTTCTTCACCTGAGTCTCCTCGATCAACTTTCACACTCCTCATGCTATTCTGGATGTCCTCAATTCCCCCAGCATGTTTCGCTATCTCGAGCGCATTATTCTGGGTTGCCATCCACCTTCCCTGCAAAGGTCGACGGCAGCGCAATCCTCTCGCTGCATACGAGCCCCTACCTCACATGGCTCACCGGTATGAACGTGTTGTGGGCACTCTTCATTTGCGTCTGGATTCAACATGCAGTAGCCGTCCTCTACTTTGACCAAGTGAGGGTACCCAAGACGGCATCCTCGTGGCTAGCGACATACAAAATTTGGAACGATCCGCAGTGTCGCATGAGTCCCGGGCTTCCACCACGATACAAGCGTGCCAATTCATTCACCAGTCGTACAGGTTTCACATTCCACAGAATCGCCAAGGTCATCCTCTGCTGGTCTTTTCAGCTCATCTTCATCGGCCCTATGGTTCCCATTCATTTCAACTTCACCGCACAAGACTTCGCCCCCTTCCGCAAAGTCTTCTTCCGTCGCCTGCTACCTCTTTATAACAACTATCCCCCTATTACCTTCCGCGAGATTCAGATCCGCCTCTTTCTCTCAGTCTACTGGATTTGGATTGCCTACCTTATGCTTGACGTATGTAATATACTACTCTCCATTCTCTTCAGTGCCATTCTCCGCCTCGACAATCCCGATGAATGGCAACCCCTCTTCGGCAGCCCACTCGAAGCATACAGCATTCGCCGCTTCTGGACAAAATTCTGGCACCGCCTGACCGTCTTCTCATGCGCTTCCTCTGGAACACAGGTCACCCGCCGTCTTATCGGCATGGCACCTGAATGCCGAAGTGAAAAGATCTTCGTCGCGTTCTGGACGTTCTTGCTCTCAGGATTGTGCCATGTGATTTCTGACTAGCAGGCAGGCGAGCCATGCTATTCGCATGATGATCTACTCTTCTTCGGGGCGAATTTCTTGGCCAGTGCCATGGAGGTGTTAGTGGCGTGCAGGCTGAGGTTCATGAATAGATATCATGCAGGTGGTGACAAGTATTTTTGGTTAGGTTCATTAAGAGCGATTACTGCGGCTGTGGGGTATTTTGGGTTCTGAGTTTTTTCTTCTGGATCACTCCCAAGTGGCAGTATCCCAAAATGTATGCAGTTCTGATGCAAGTTCAGGGATACTAGGGTTGGCAGTAGCCAGTAGTAATATTTATGAATGGGTTTTGGTCATCAATAAGTCGGGTGATTTTGCTGATCCCTGCCGTTAACAGGACTAATTTACAAAGTAGACGGGACGAAGAAGAAATTACCAAGATTCCCAAGGCGTCCTGCCATTCCGTACTGCCTGCTTTACTAGTGAGCAAATGATATTGATTAGTCATCTTTTACCTTTGGCTGAGCCTTTCGGGCACTCAGGCACCGGTGCCTCGATATTGAAGTATCTTGCTCTACAGAGGAGAGGTGTCACATGATTGCAAATCAAGTGAGACCACGCCCCACCAGTCACCTGCCCTGAATTCTAGTCCGTAGCATAATAAATTTACGGAATACCCACATATGTTCACACTAGAGAAGCTCCTATTTACTACATCTTTCATACAACAAACCAGCCACTGCAAGTCCTCCCATCAAATTTGAACGTGAGGATAAACACAACCCACCCACGAGAGACAATGTTCTTTTCTAACCTATGCTATATTTTCAGTGTAATCGGCATTGCCACTATTTTACTACACACGCGGGCTTTTTCGGTGGCCTAATCAGAAAGACGAATATTTAATATTTTTCTAAAGACGCCACCATGCTAGACTGGCTCCGCAAACTCTTCAGTGCCAACAACACTGCCGTCGACTGGAGATACCAGCAGCGTCGAAGCCGGAAGCGAAGCAAACAGATACGTGCTCGTGAACAGGAACTACGCAGACAGAACCAGAGGCAGGAATTGAAGGGGGGGAAGCGAAGAACACAGTTCTTCTGGGGGTCACCAGGTGTTACTACCCCTGTGTATCAGACAAGGGCGTTCCAGTGATTGGAGCTGTTTACTCTACTAGGGTCAGATGATCTATCTGTTTTCTGTTTCTTATTCTTTCCTTCTAGTCCACTGATGTCAGGGAGTTGCATATCTAAGTATAGCATTCACAAACTTACTCTGTTGCACCAACTGTCTTCTGAATAGAGTGGCAATTGAACAAGTTATTCTGATAATCTGAAGACCACACTGACTAAACAAGTCAAAAGATGTTTGTGTATTCACCAAGACTAATAAGTCTAGAGAAAGAGAAAAATATATATTGACTTGGAATTAAGCTGTTTTATATATCTATATATATTTATATACATGTTGTTAAAGCTAAATTCTACTTCTATTAAGATAAATCCAGGTATTGGTTATACCACAAAAACTGGTTCTACAGTGGGTGGATATAGTACTACTAGGTTTCTAGGAGCTATGTATACTTGGACTCCGCACAATCATCTTTGACTCTCTCTCCATGATGTCTCTCATCTTTACCAACTTGAAGTCGCCTTTGAAATGATATGATACGCGACATGGCAGGATAATCCCATTTGTACCACCCACATCAAAAATGGATGGTAATCACTGAACAAAGGTGCTGTCTATGACAACATCCGTAGACACACCACTCAGCTTCTCGCCAAGTGCTTTCGCAACTGCCGCTGCCCCGGTCTTGGTAAAGGCTTTGGTTGCGGCACTTGAACTCCAATACTTGGTAACCTCATTGATACGAGCCGTCACGAAATCCTGAAGGTTCCCTTGCATTTGCTCGAAGAAGTCTTTCGAGTAAGTTATCCATGCGTCTTCGAACGAGGAGGCTGTGATGCCGTTAACATTCGGGTTATTTTGCGCAGCTTGATCGAGGGCCCCCATGGCTGCCTTGATTGCTTTATAGCCATACTCCAAAGAATCTTGTACCTGTTGCAGTATGTTAGATCCCGTGATGATCAAGAAAAAAAATAGATTTGACATACATCGGCACTGTTCAGGTATCCTGGCAGAGTATCGTAAAGCTGCAAAGAATCAGGTATCAATATTAAGCGGAGAGATTTAACAGCGCGCGGAATGACTCACATGATTAATCATGTCGACTTTTCCTTGTGCACTCTCCGCACTGAATCTCTTTGGCGAGATAATGTTGTCGAACAGTTGCCAGGCCTATGTTTGCAGTGTTAGAGAGATATACAATTGAGCTCATGGTGCATACGTACAGCGGCTTTCAGCCCGTTCGTCGGAGCGTCCAAGATTTGGAGATTGCTAATATCAGCGGTACTTCCCAGTGCATTAGCAATAGCCTCTGCAGGAGTATCCCCAGTCAGGCCAGTGGGTTGTGTGACTCCTAATTGTGCCCAAGTCTGGAAAAAGTAGCCATTCTGAGAGAAGACTTGGGTCCAGTCATAGTTCGATGCGGTTCCCGGAGCAGCCGCCCCACTAGGAAGCTTCCCAGAAAGCATGCTCGTGGCAAATTGAGCTGGGGTTTGAAGTTCGGTAACATGTTCGACCACGTAGTTGGTGCCCAGGATTCGCTTTCCAAGAGTTATTGGCAGTCCGTTACAGATGGCGGTCTTTGCGCCAGACTTGACCACCCCGTAGAACTGCCGGGTGGCAGACAGGGTTCCAACACTGGGATAGTTTTTCGCTTTGAAAGTGCTGATAGTTTTCTTGTTTTGGCAAATTTTGGGTTTGCGAGCGCGCGGGAACAGACCACCAAATATTCCATCAGAATCCTCCTCTGTCGCATTGCCTATTGACCATAACAGCTCGCGGAACTCTTCACTATGTAACTTTGGCACTGTGTAGCAGTCATCCCCTTCACAGAGTTGCGGGAGGTCATAGTCTTCGTCGCCTTGAGTGGCTAATACGGAACGTTTTGCAGTCAAACCCCCGACTTTCTCATATAATGAATACCACCGCTTCATTACATCTGGGCTTCCAGTGTTAGGGAGTGTGAAGCAGTCATCTTCGTACCAATACAGCTCAATGAAGTCTGCTGGGTTTCCATCAGAGTCAAGCTCGTCCGAGTATACGTAGTCGGTATCTGCAGCTGAGCAGAAATTAGGAGGGTCATTCGTCGGATCAGTCTAAAGACATATTAATGGAAACTTCTTTGCACAGCTTTGTAGGCCTAAAGCTACCTGGTTGAAGGTATCACAGCTACATTGAAAGATCATTAGCGTTAATAGAATACAGTAGGTTTGGATATATGGAGTTCACCAGAAGTAACTTGCTGTGTTGTGCCAGCATGGATATGAGGAGTCATGATCGATATAACTCTCAGCGACGATCCGTTTACCGGCAGGACAGCCTGTATTGCAAGTGAAAGGAGCGAGAATAGTATGGGCACGAGTCGTCCTACAGTAGATCAGTATTCGAATTTTCCCTAAAAGATAACACTGATCAAAATTAAATCATACCATGAGCAGTTCTGATAAGGAACGGGATCTGTACAGCACAAACTTTTCATCCCTAGAAAAAGGCGTTAGCAGAATTCCAGTTATTTTCGTACTGGATCGCGAAAAAATCCTGATTTTACCCTTATAGCAGACTGACTCTCCACCTTGCCCATCTACGCTATCTGTTAAGTACTCAGGATAACCCGAAGCACAACCGGCATGATTGTCACCACTTGCACAGTGTGGTGCAGAGCCTGACCATTCTATTTCCGCTCTGTTAGTGGACTATTGGAATACAATGTCGCATAAATCCCTCTTCTTGAAGGCATAAGCAGGACTTGTAACTTACTGCACTGCCCAACTGCTGCATCGGATGACGTCGAAGTACAGCATAAGGACTTATGGTTGAACCAACAGCTATGGCCCGTGGCAGATTGATCGGTTGCGACTTGGGCTTCTCCCTTTGAGCAGGAATGGCTACGGCAAAGGGGAGCTGAGCCTTGCTAAGTTGAATAGTTAGCATATGCAACTGCTCAAAATACTGACATCCATATTGCGGGGAACCCAGATCGAAATAACGTACCCAGTGACAAGTCGGAACATTATCCGTGGGGCAACAGTAATTGCGCTTCTGACCATTGAAGCATCCTGAGTAGATCGCCATATTTGAAGCTGATTTTCCTTTCCCGTTGGTTGCGGGGGTAGTGCCAGAAGGACAGTCTTCATCACATCCTCCCCAAACACACTGTGAGAGCGATGAAACCTGAGGGGTTTGACCTCCGAAAAGACTCTTCTTGATGAGGCTGTTCATCTCCAAAAGCTCTTGACTCACTGATCCATTGTTCGTATCTGTAGAAACCGCCCATACCATAGTACCGCCAAGGCACTTGCCATTAGCATAATCTTTTTTCATCTTAATTGTTGTCTCGTCATCGTATGAAACCCACTGATCCGTGTCCCATGTGACGATGTTGACAGCCGCATCTTTGTCAAGGACTGAAGTTGTACCGCCTTCGGCAATTATAGAGAGAATCTCCGAGTCCATCAAAGTTCCAGAGGATGCCGAGCAGTTACCTGGATTGCCGCCACTGCTGAATGGGCAGCCAGCTGCTGTACACGACGGATCAGTAAGAGTGAAGCTTCGGCCGTAAAAGCCAAGTCCAAGATTAATCTTTGAAGGAGATATGCTGTTGCGCCAAAAGAGATCCATTGTCTGGTCAATTTCAGTCAGGTTAGTGTGTGCATATACATACGGACCAATGTATGGATCTGTCGAGTCCCATGTTCCATGGAGATCATAGGTCATGACATTGAACCAGTCAATAGTCTTTTCGATCGCGACGATGTCAAAGTTCTGCATATACCAATAACTAGACGGGACAGTGATTGACAATCCGTAGTTGTGACCTGTTGAGCCCAGTGCAGTTTTTAGGTTCTGCAAGAATGTTGGGTAATTCTTGAGGTCGGCAGCTTTGCCAGATCTTTCCGAAGCAACGGGATACTCCCAGTCAATGTCAACGCCGTCGAAGCCATAAGTTGTCATGAATGACAGTAAGGATTTGAAAAATGCCTTTTGAGCCGATGTCGAAGCCGCAAGGTCCGAAAACGTAGTGGCAGTCGGCTGGTCGGCATCATTCATCGACCATCCACCTAGCAAGAAGTCAACAATAAAAATTCACTTGCACTATCCAGAGTTCCGTACCGATGCTTATCCATGTCTCAAGGCCCGTATTGTCCTCTTTGAGACCAGTGAAGCGAGAATAAAGACCCATGTCACTCTCGCTCATAGGGGCCACCTCGAATGTGTCGGGATTTATGTAGGCAAACGCAAAGTTGAGATGAGTATAAGCACCAGCGGGGAGTGCTTCGGGGACCACTGTAGTATTGAAGAAATTGTTAGCCATCGTATTGATTCAAAAATTTGACTCGATTAAGATCCAACCATCCTAGGAAAAATCAAAGCGAGTGAGAACTTACTGGCATCACAAGCCCGGCTGATTGACCATCCTTCATAGTATCTGATTTGTATCTTAGGATCAAAAAATATTAAGTCAACACTAAAGTCAGAATCGTGATAACTCACCCAATTGATCTTCCATCCGCTGAACTCCCACTGCAGGAGGGCTTCTTGACGGTCTTGTTCCCGCAGAAATCTGAGGTAGTTCCTAATGATCACAATCCGGATTAGCAAGATCACGGCCAAGAAGTTTGATTTGGCGTTTTTGGTGAATTACCACAGAACCCATACTTCGAACAGCAGACATTAAGGGGGCATTTTTCTGCCGTGCTCCATTCCGATCCCCAGCCAGGGTCGCACTCAGACTTCGCATCACAACTAGAAGTGCAGTTTCCGGTGCCGCAAAAGTCAGGTCCTAGTCCACTTTTAAACACTTGTTATCGCTTGCGACCTGAGATGGAATAACTGGCACTATCACTTACCAGACGCCAGAATTACCGCAACATCCTATGGCGCAGGTTTTCGTTAGGGAGCTTGGGATATCAGCTATAATCCTTCAGGCGCATATGGGTGCAGGAACAAGGAAAATACCAGGTATAGTCGTCGGCCGATGGAATGGTCCCTTGGGAATACGAGGGAGGCAGAGAACCGAGAAGACTTAGGACCCAGACGGCCCAAAACGTAGACCACATCCTATACTTGGACAGGTCTATAATCAAGTTTTGATGAGGACAAGGTAGAAGGAAGTCGATATTCTAACTCACAAAGTTCAGGGACTGGACCTCGCCAACGATAAAATCTCACGAAGCGACTCGGCATGTCGGCAGACTCATGAATTGTACAAATATCTTCAATTCGGGGGAATGTCGGTTCCAGCACGATTATTCGAAATTACGAAATCCCCATTTCATACAATACCCGACAAGCACCTATACCATTCTATCTCACGCTTAATTCCGCGTCTTTCAGCCTAAGAAGCTCTTCCCGAGGGCGCTATCTGGCCCTGAGGTCTGAGGGATATGTGACAGCCTAGAGCGCTTGCACTAAATTACCCCTGCTAGTGGCTGCGAACTAAACCCGAAGCATTATTGATCGGTAGCATTAAGGGGTCCAGGTGTGAATAGATCCTGTTTCCAAGGTTCAATGTAGGACAAATTTTACCGACAGGTTCACGAGCCTTATGCACATGACCAACGCTTAGCCTCCGCAATCAAGCCTTGCGTTCGGATCCGCATGGGACCAGACCATCCACACATATCCTCGAGTGCAATATGCTATCGGAACACCACGGATATGCCAGCTAGAGGAGGTTACATCGGCCCTTCATCTCTTGCTCCGCAGCCAATAAGATAAAGATTCAGGTACAGCATGATCCGGTGCGCATATGAGACTGGCATCTGTCGATTGTGCAGCTTTGTCTCATTGGTAAAGTTTCAGGAACCTTTAATACCTCCGCTTGGTAGACCCAGTTTCCCAATACAGACTTGATACAGGAGTCACTTTCTGCCATGCAAGGCTGCCGAGATGCCGGGAATATACTTTCCGATTTTCCTAGTTCTGAAATGTCTCTAAAACTAGGAGGCTTGCAGATAGGACTGAACCAAATGAGGGGCCATAGTTGCGATCTGTTTCAAGTCTAGAAGTCCGACTTGCCTCTTCTCAAGGCCCAGAGACCCTTACCGCAAATCCATTCCTTCGGTAGATCTACGGGCCATCATGAAGTCTTTCGGCTTGGTCGTTTTGGCAGCATTTTTTACCCTCTGCGAGGCACAGTTTCAAGTTCTAGATGCTGGGTCCATCGCAAACAGCACTGCTGTGAAATTTTCTGATGCTTGCCTAACTGCTTTGCAGGGCACTGTCAACTGCAACAGCAGTTTGGTGAATATTGCCGCCGCAGATGATGTTTATGGCATTAGCAATGATACATACGCCTACCTTTGCACCAATAGCTGTGGTTCATCTCTGGAAATATATCACAATACCGTCTCATCTGCTTGTCCTGGCCAGGATGAGGCTTGGAGTGGATATCCAGCGACATATTTTGGAGATGTGTACTGGGCGAGCTACAATCTGTCTTGTTTGGCAGATCCCACCTCCGGGGCGTCATGCATTGGTGAGTCGAAATTCCTGCTTCAGCCCTTTTATCGGAGGTATTCTCGCCCTATCAGACTAAATAATTGTGGATCATAGACTACTTTAACACTCTTTCGAGCAATTATACACACGATGTATCTGCAACCTCATTACCATCCTCTGTTGCATGCTCCCCATGCGTTCTAGAGTTGTACCAGCTTCTCCAAAAGACGCCATATTCATACTACGATTCCGAGATGGCATCCGATTGGTCTTCCATACAAAGTCTTTGCCACGTCACATATCCAACAGACGTCCCAAAGAATCCCACAAATGTCACTGATATTGCCGGATTTGCGCCTGCAAATTATACTTCGCCAAGCTGTTTGTCAGAAGCGACGTACACGGTTGTTTCAGGGGATAATTGCATCGCTATTTCGCAAGCGCAAAATGTTTCCACTGGGACACTTATCTCACTCAATAACTTGCTCCCCGATTGTTCTAACCTTGACGGTAACCCAACCCAACCACCCAGCGCACGGCCACATATGTCGCTCCAAATAGTATGCTTCTTAGCTAACAATGCCATGACAGCTGGCGCTTCATTGTGCCTTCCGCAAACGTGTGATGTTTACACTGTTCAGTCTGGAGACACTTGTGAAAGCATCTGTAATGAAGCAGGAATCACCTTCGTCCAATTAACCTCCTGGAACCCGACCATCAACAGCTACTGTTCCAACCTGATAGCTGGACAAGCCGTTTGTGTCGGGCAGGCAGGATCGACATGGACTGGGACAACCATCCCAGGCGCTTCAGCCACTCAAACCGGCGTCTACGCCACTACCACCGTTGCCGCTCCAAGCAACCTGGCTTATGGGACCACAACCGACTGCGGCCAATATTACGTTGTGCAAAGTGGAGACGACTGCAGCCTCGTCGCGCTGAACAATACCATCACAGTCAGTTTGTTTGAGCCGATCAACCCATCAATCAATGCTGGATGTACCAACTTGGTTCCTGGGTTGGCTTATTGTGTGCGTCCAGTAGCAAACTGGAACAGCACCAACACGACCACGACTACGACGGCTTCATATGTTACTGCGCCAGCACCAACACCTTCTGGCACCACATCTGATTGCTACAAGTGGCATGTGATTATCAGTGGAGACTACTGTGCTCTTCTGGAGAGTGAGTATGGAATTACTTTTACGCAATTACAGACTTGGAACTCCAATTTAAATTCGACGTGTGGAAATCTTATTTTGGGAAATGCATACTGTGTGGATGGACCAAGTAATGTCTCATCTACCAGCAGGATTGCTTCTGCTACGGCGATTTCGACGGCGCTGAATCTTTGAATTGCGGTCGCTGCACTCCTTCTGCTTACGAAGGATTCTAGTTTAGCAAGCATTTTAGTAATCTAAATGCTGTGGGTAGTCTTTTCTTGCTATTGACTTGAAGAACTGGGTGTACGAATATTGCCGAGTAGGGAGCGGAGATCCATAACTTCGATAATATGCAAATCATTAATCAAATAGTCGATGGGCAAAGTCTCCAGTTCTCGTCAGGTCCAATACTTGATACTCACGAATTTGGTTCGTGCACCGCTAAGTAAAAATAGTGTGAACTCCTATATACAGGGTCTAATCGAAGCATGCTATTCATTCCCGGGGCACGAGGCGTTGAAAAATGAAACGAAAAAACCAGCTTATAAACCCAGTCCCTACAACCGAAACCAGGAAAGGGAATTGGATCTGAAAAGGTCAATCGGGCCGACCGGAGATTACTTTTCACTAGGTTCCAGCATTACTCCAAGTTTATGCCTCGCTACCAGCCCTAGGCCACTTTTAATAAAATAATCGGGAGCCTAGGTTGCTATAGTTACGCTAAGCTTTCAAACGTTACAAGCTTTCTTACCGAGTGGATCCTTACCGAGCCCCGTCCCCGCCTTTGATCAATATCGCAACCTTTCTTTTCCAAATTCCTTCTTTCCCTCACCCATATGCCTTGTCAAAGCGTTTCCCTCTCCAACCCAAGACATTACATATCAAAGGCTTTAAGTATATCCGCCGAATATGTCTTCTTTACCACCCGGATGGACTGAAGAGCGACTTCGAACCATAACCGAGGATGACTTGCGTCAAATACCGGAGGAGGTAAGCCTATGATCACCTTCGAACTTTATGGAACCCTCTATTGATTCATACTAACCATCTCTCACCAACATAGCAAATCCGCCAAATTGATTTAAATTTGATCCCCTTCGACAATGTTCGAGCTCGCACAATCATTTCATTTGCAAAATTGTTCGAGGAACAAAGATCAAGTCGCGCGAGAAAGGGCATGCCCCCTGCCCCTCCAAAAGATATATTTAAGATACCCGATGATGCAGTCATCCAGGTCGTGGAAGAGAATGGATTCGATGACTTCGGTTTCATTACTTTCCGAACAGATTACTCAGATGATGAACGCTGGGATAAATGGGATGCAGAGTATGATCGCCTAATAGATTTGTCGATCGAAAGGTCCGCTGGCGGTCAGAAGATTATGGATAAATGCTTGATGCCTCGCTTTGAGGATCCGGAATTACATGGTGCTACTCATCAGCAGATACAACAGTAAGATCAACCTTGAAATTTAAATGTTGTCAATGCAGGTCACTGATACAAGCCAGATCATACTATGGGTACATAGAAACTGAGGGCTTGGCTCCGGGATTAGATGTGGGCCTATGTCTGGTTGCTGATACTGCCGCTGTAGAGTCCATGAACAGTGACCTGCCATGGGTGTATGCTTTGGATATGAATTTTGATCATTCGAGTGAAGTAGAAGAGGGGGAATACCCAGGGTATTTCCGAGTTGCTGTGGTCTCGGTGATCCCAGAGCTTTATCCCATCCTTACAGCTATGCCACCCGCGGAGCTTTGGTCCCAGGGGGATGAGATATGGCAGTCAGCCGTTTAGTCAGGAACTGTTGGTATTATAAACTAAACAGGACTGTTGAAAACATATTCTAGTAGGGAAATCTTTACAACAGGTGTGATAGGATCTACTTGTCAAGGTAGAAAACCTGTTAACTAGGTATGGAATCAGCCATTAACGTAATCAACGGTTGGATGGCCCACACGGTTGGGCGGCCCATCTGGTTATCCATATAAAAGATGCTTTTTTAAATCTATTATATCTTAACCAATACTCAAGTTAATCAGTTGTCACTATATATATAGATACTATATATTCTGATGAATAATATATAATTTTTTAAAAATTTTTTAAAATTTTTATGTATAAATTATATTAATGTATCTAAAATTACAGATAAAATATATATACTATATTATAATCAGATACTATTCATATTTATATAGATTTTTGAGGAGTATTAGATAGTTATTTATATTATTTATAATGTATTTATGTAATATTGAATCTTTTAGACTTATAATGATTGAGTTATCTTGTATTGAAAATGAGTCTTCTATATAGTATTACCAGATGGGCCGCCCAACCGTGTGGGCCGTCCAACTTCTGATTACATTAAACATAATAGCTTTATTTAATAATAACAAAGATAGCCTATATTCACGAGATAGACTGATCCTTGAGGAATCAGTAGTCTATAAAAAAAACAGTCTAGTAGGGAAATCGTCACAACGGGACAACAGTCAAATGATATCTGATGAGTTTTAAAATAGTATTATTTAATAGAGCTTTCCATGAGGAATGCAGTAATATAACTTTTATTTCTTTATTTAGTTATTCTGTGGAGTTATAAGTATTTAAAAATAATAATATATATTTATAAATTCAGTTGGTATGATCGTAAGTGATATTCTAGAATTATATGACTTCTATCTTATTTATTTTATTTACTTATCTCATATAGCTTATTTATGTTAGGGGTCACTCCTTGGTCCCAAGAGTACGTCGCCTGTTGGACAAGAAGGAATAACTAACCTGCGGGCGCCATCATCGTCGACCTGGCGTGGAGCCCGTCCTACCGCATCACCTTGATGTCGGACGACGAGTGGCCAGCGGGCTCGCAGCTCCCGGCCATCCGCCAGCTGTCCGACGTGATGTGGATTGAGTGGGCGGCCCAGGCCGCGGCCGGCGGCGTGGACGCCGGATCCCGGAAGTATATTTTCCAGATGAACGTCGTGAACATGGACACGCGGGCCGTGATCGAGCGGGCCATGGGCGGCGTCCCGGCCAGTGAGTGGGTGGGCTATACCGACTTCGAGACGACCTCCAAGGCCGGATACGCCTTGCTGGGCACGCCCAACGGCAATGCTCAGGCCTGGGCCTCATCAACCACAAGGATTCGCTGGGTGCCGACCAGAGCAATCCGGATGAGATCACCGGACTGAAGAAGGTCTCCAAGATCCGGATCTGGACCAACGAGGATCTGTGCTATATTCCTCCGGACCTGGATGATGAGTCGGATTACGAGGTCGAGGACGTGGATATGGATGATAAAGATCGGGATATGGCCCACTGCTATCACATGCTGTTCTTTATCGATACGGTATCTGAGCCGGATTTCATGGATTATTAAATTAATCCCTCATTTAAGCATCTAGGTTGGGTGCAGATAACAAGCATTAGGTATAACCTTAGATTATTATAGAAGACTCTTTCGCGGCTGTTGAAGCACTATCCTGTCCCTCTTATACCTACCTCGGTCTTTCTTGACATAGATCCCACGAAGGATTTCACATTACCTCACCGCGAACAAAGGTTTACGATATACCATACAACCATCTACCCAACAGAGGCCAATCCACTCATGCTATAACGCAACACGGTAATACACTGGTAGTAACTCAATAACCTTCACTGCAATGGCCAGCTACACCATTTCATAGGCCAGGTCTTTTCTTCTTGATCCGACGGCCACATAGACTCGAAGATCTCTAAATCCATACTTCGCATCCTCTCGCCCGGTTTACGTTTTGACTTGAACCGGTTTTCCACTCGCATCCCGGTGGCTGCATCCCACTCGACCTGCCACGCGCCACCTATTTCCTGGTGGTAATCCCCGCCTCCGAGCAGCACATGGGCTGTGATACCCGTGGATCCCTGGTACTGCCCAGACTGGCCCGAGAGGGGGTACAGTCGGAGCACTCGGAGGGATCTCCCCATTGTCTGGCTCCAGATGCGTGTGAATATCGCTGTAGCTAGCGCTTCGTCGAACGCACTGTTGATCGCGGTGTCCCGAACCGTCCACTTGGCAAGACTGCCCTGCCAGGTTTGGATTGTCTGGCGCTCGTACGCAGTGAGCTCCCGTGGGGGGAACGGGCTCTCCTGACCTGAGACTACCACGGGAAGGCAGTTAAGGTGAAGGTCCAGCGTATGGAGGGCTGGAAAACGGCCCAGGGCGTTGTAAGCGGCTGTCTCGGTTAAGTAACCCCGGTACCGTTGCACGGTAATCCGCAGCGTCTGGAGGACAGGGCAGCAGGCAGCCATGTTAGCGATCACATCTGTAGGGTATATTGGAGCAATCTGCCCCTTCCGCGCGAGTCGGTAGAGCTCGTAGTTCTGAAACTGGGGTCGGGGTCTGTGCAGCTGCAGCTCGGTTAGTGTTGGGCCGTGGCGGTCCAGGATCGCGGTGGGGAGCCATTCCGGGTGATAGGACCCCAGCAGGCAGAGATAGGTCAGGGGCGGGAGGGCATCAAACATGGCTTTAACTGCCGGGAGCCAGTTGGGAGAGGTTTCCGGGTAGTTCAGGGCGAGGGTTAGTCGCTTTAGGGCACGGAAGGGTTGCAGTTCGGCGATGGTTGTTAATAGAGCAGTATCCTCGATGGCGCCGGCGGTCCACGTGGTGAGATATCCCAGATCGGTAACGCCGGACCAGGCCTGCAGGCTCTGCGCGGTCATCCTGCTTATCAACGGGAATGAAAGCATTTCCAGTTGCGCGCGTGGATGCGTATTGACATCGTCCTCCAACGGCTGGGCCTGCAGCCACTTGGTGTATCGCTGATAGGAGCTGGGGCCCGACGTGGCGCTGATCTGCAACGTCAGACGCTTGATCCGCGGTGCTTGACGGAGAATGTTCCGCAGAAAGCGATCCGGGTGCTCGGTGTAGAAGCGGCCATTGGGATGTTCATAGTAGACGATCCAAGCGGCCCTCACCACGGGAGAGTGGACCCATTTATTTCACGTGATATCCGCTCGGTAGGTATTGGGGCTGGCGGAGAACACCGACACGTGACAGTCTGGATGAGTCTCCGCTAGGGTATCCAGCAGTGCCGGCGGGTATGAAGGGTACATTAAAAGATGAAGCCGCTTCAGATACACCAGCCGTTGGAGGAGGGAGATGATCGGGTCCCAGTCCCCTTTGTATGCCCGCAGTATGGGAGGGACATCGACATTCTCGGGGCTCGTCTCATTGAGATACTTCCCGACGTTGATATCACGTAGGTCCGAGGAGGTGCGATCCACGAGGGTGATATATCTGATATGCGGCAAGACGTGAGTGGCGTCAAGCAGCTGAAGCACATGGTGAGGTGGCCCGTCCGGCTTCAGGCGGAGAGTAAGATCTTGATAAAGACTCGGCGCCGTAATCTGGTTCCACTGGCGGTTCACCTGTGATAAAGCCCGCAGGGTTTCCCACGATACATCGCGAACCTAGCTCCAGAATTAGTTGGTTTCAAATGGTAATTGCAGTGTTCTTACTATTCCAGCAATTAAATGCTTCACCTCCAGGGGTAGATAGTCCATGTTCACGAGTCCGTAAGATGGCAGTCGACATGATGAAATGATGTAGTGACGGGTTATTATACATTGAGGACAGTTATCAGGTGACTAACTATACTCATCCCCTAGGTACGTAATACGTTCGCGCTAGTATTGCTGTTTCACACTCATCTCTTATCAGTTGTGATGATGGGGAATACCGAGGAGCGGATGACTCTTTATCCGGCCATCTTGTACCTTAGCCCTGGTAAATATCCTGCAAATCTACGTCTTAGTATCCCTCATTCATTAAGGGAAAGAGCATCGCAGTTCAAAATATAAAGAAGGGCCAGTAGTAATTAATTAATATTGAGCCTGTTCTACACACTGAACAAATGTATGGGTCATATGGGGTACAATTTGACGACTGCAATGCTGTACCAGTGTTATATCCCTACGGGAGAGACATAATATATATCTGGATTTACGTATCCCAGCAGGTGGCATGGAGGTGATCATTGGTGATCGTTATAATTTGAATACTAAGTAGTATGTTATCTTGGATTATACCTAAAAAGCCAGTACGTGGATTGCTATAATATGCAGACACTACTAACCCTGAAGGAGTGTCGGTCTTGAGCAACAAGAGACTTATATTTGTGATATGTGTAGGTATTCACAGTCAAGATATCTATTTCATTAGAAAGCCTGACCCTTCTGAAGCGTAACCAAATATGATTTTTTGACCGGTTTTTTGACCGGCTTCAACACTGACAACTAGATTCTATCACAATACTTTCGTGGCTCTCACACTGCCTCTCACACTGCGCCGTTCAATATCTGTGAATCTTTGCTTATTGTCATCTCTCAGAGCTTACTACATCGACTATAATGTTGATTACGTGGATATATTTTAAGACTGTACTGTACAATTGATACTATATTTTACAGAACACCTATCTATGAGTCAAGACCTACATCAGATGCAAACTTCCACGACCTCACTGGGTATAATCTGTACTGTGTGCAATCCCCTCCATACCATGCATGTTCTCCTTCAGCGCATCGACCTTGGCTCGCAGCACCGCATAACAATCCGACCCCAGCGGCATCCGAAGGTACGAAGCCGCCTCCGCGCAGAGACCCTGCTGCTCGACAGCATCAATATCCGCGCAGCCGCCTTCTCCGGATCGCCCCGCTGCGTGCCGTCGGCCGTGTCGTAGCGCTGCATCGCCTGGCCCAGCGCTTTCCCCTCATACGCTGGGTTCAATCCCGCCGCGGGTTTCACATACGCGGAGAGAAACCCGGTCCGGAAGCCACCAGGCTGGACGACCAACACTCGAATGCCAAATTCGCCCAGCTCGCTTGCTAGACTTTCCGAAAGGCCTGGAAAGAATATGTCAGCAGGGTCAACAAATCTCTCAGCTCACCTTCGAGCCCGAACTTGCTGGCGGAATATAACGCAGTGGCGGGACGTCCGATTAGGCCCGCGACACTGGAGATGTTGACGATGCATCCAGTCTTCTTCTCACGCATGGAGGGCAGACAACCCTGGATGACGCGGATTGGGCCGTAGAGGTTAGTGTCGATTTGCTGATGAATTTCGGTCTCACTGCCGATAACACGACATATCAGTAAGAATGTTCCGTCTCGAAGAAGAATAAGACAATAAGAAGAAGAGGAAAAAGAACAAGAACAAGAACAACAAAAGGCTACTCACCTCATATCTTCAATACTGCCCAAGATAGAGTACCCAGCATTGTTCACCACCACGTCGAATCACTCATGCTCGCGAGAGAGGCGTGCGACATGCTCCTTTGTCTTGGCATCTGTCACATCGAGTTGCGCCCACGCGCCTCCCAGCTCCTCGGAATGAGGGTAGGTCTGCTGCGCCTTGGCTATATTCCGCACCGCACCGACAACCTTATGGCCTGCGCGGATGACATGATGAGCGAGCGCGGCGCCCAGACCGGACGATGCGCCGGTGATTAGCCAGGTTTTGGTCATGGAAGTGGTTATTATTCGAAAGATCGAAATGTCGGGAAGACTCGAGATCCACCTAGCAGCGGATGGTAGCCTTTTATATTTTATCTCATTAGACAGAATCTCGGTGGTACGCATTTGACTGATGATATCATGGGCCCGGGAAATGAAATCGGAACCCCACTCGGGCTGACAGCTCGGCGTGGTCTGCAATAAACTCCGCGTGGTCTAACGCTAAATACAGAACAAGAACAGCCCTTTTCCATCTTCACCATAATGAATTCTTTTTCTTTCATAAAAAATACATATAAACGTTATACTAAGAATATGTAAATTAAGAAAACAAAGACTCCGTAATGAAAAGCTCAAATCAACACTCTCTATACTCGGTTCACAACAGCAAGAGGTCGATTGTGTCAAGCGGCTCAAGTTGTTTATTGACTGTATGATACAGTTGACCCTCCTGGCCAAATGACTAATCAAAGTTATGCTGAAATTCTACCCGCGGACATCCGCCAAGAATCCATAGATAGTCTCAGAAATATCCTGTGTTTTAGAAGATCAGACTATTTTTATATACTGGTAAACTTTCTGTCTAATTTATCTTATTCTCTAAGACATGTGCAGTATACTAATATAAATATAATTATTTTACTAATAATACAGCTAGAATACTTTTAATAGTAAATAAAATTATAAAATCACTGATTTTAAAAAAATAATATACTGAATATAGTCTCAGCTCTTTAAAATATTTTAAAAATTATTTTAATTATCTTTTGACTTACTAATTTATTTTAAATATAATTTATATTATTCAAAAAAAATATAAATTCATTTTATTATTAGTATTATACCTGCTAAAACATATATCTAGATAAAATATAATAAATAGATAATATATATAAATTATATATATATAAAAATTAAATACTAGAGAGCTTATCAGCTTAAAATTATCAAACCCTAGGATTGTTTCCCTGTCCCTGTTAACTTAGCCCTGTTGGTATATGTACTATCAGATTATATTAAGGTGGTATTAACTGATAACTGTTTAAGAAATAACTAGATTATAAATAAGAAAAGAAAAGTAAGACTGAATAATATTACACAGCTATTTATAAATAAGTACAGATAAGTATTCTGTAGCTAAACTTTTAAATATATAATTATTTAGAAATAGTATTATTAAGTATAAAGAACAGAACTAACTAAGTATATAAAAAATATTCTTATATATTTTATTTTTTATATACTATATATTATTAGATCTATTATATACTAGTCTGATAATTATAGACCGCGATAGTATATTATATATTATATATTTATTTATATACTGTAGTCATATAATATATAACCAGTTCAGATATTATAAAAATAATCCATGATTATATTAAATAATTATTTAGCTTTGTCTGAATACTATTTTTATTAATATTTTTTATCTAGTAAGTTTACATTACTAATAAATTAATTAGTAGAAATCTGTAATATTACCTCTTCTTTTTTAAGATTTTTTATTCTCAAGAAATATAAAAATATATATTTTTCTGTATAAATTAACTAGATTTTTTAGGTTTTTTTTCTTAGAATAGATTATTATGCGTTTATATAATTACTACAAAAATATTACTATTAAACTGACTGGATTATCTATAATAATATTTAAATTAATTTTTTTAATATCTGATATAACTTCTATAGTCTTTTTTATTTTATAAATTTTAAAAATTAAAATTATGCAGCCTGCACTCGTCGTGACTGTAAATATGTGATAGAATAACCTGGCTATCAGGGCCTTGCGCATTGGAATGATGTATTACAATAGTTATAAGAGTTATGAGATTATTGATAGAGGTTCTATATTTTCCTTATATCTATAAGGTGCTGATTTCTTTGTAATAAGTTACTGATCTTTCAAGGATTAGTTTATTTTATAGATATAAGCTATTTTTATTATTATTAAACTAATTTACTAATTTTTATAATTAATTTTTTATCTAGTCAACAGGCTTTCTACCCTGATAAATAAATCTTATTATATTCTGATTTTTTTATTTTAATTATTTAAGAAAAATGCCACTTCTTGAAGATAGTAAAGAAAAAAAGATATTTAATAATTATATTAATCTTAAATTATTATTAAATATAGTCCCTATTACTGAGAAAATCTAATAATTAAAAAATTATATTTATTAATTAGAACAGGCTGCTAATTTATAAAGAAAAAGAATTTATTTCTAAAAGTATAATTTTCCAGGTAAAATATTCTCTAGATATTATTAATTTTTTTCTGAATCTAAAAGAGATAAGAAAAAGATTAAGTTTAAAAATATTTTTTATTTTATTTTAAATTTTAATCTCTAAAAATATTAAAAATAAATTATTAATTTGAAATACATGTTTCAGGGAGCTTTTAAGAAGTATTTATTAAAAAAATATAAGATTCTTATTATTATTAGTTATATAAATCTAGTATATAGGTAGAGATAATACTATTTTATTAATAATAAAAATCTAAAAGTAAGATAATTTTTTAAAAAATCATAGCTTCAATTCAAGAATTAGATTTTTATTTAAATTTAAAATACTGTTATTTTTTAATCAGATATTATAATTTAACTTAAACAGGCTTACCAGTAATACAGTTAAGAAAGAAAGAATTTTATTTTTGTTTATTAAATTATTATTTAATTTTAATTATTATATATAAAAGTATGTTCTCTATTTACCAGAGAAATAAGATAAAATAATAACTATTATTATTTATTATTATAAACTATGGAGTAATAAAGAAAAATATAAATAAAATAATAATTAATTTCATAATTATAAATTATATAAATACTTCTAAAATTATTCTAATTAATTAATTAAGAAAAATATATTAAATCACAAGAAGAATTATATTAGAAAAAATAATAATTAATTATAATATTTTATATATAATAGTATCCAGTATCTTGTAAATTAACATTTTATTAAAAATAGAAAAATTTAATCTACTAGAATCTACTAATATTTATCAGATTCTAAGAGAAAAGTAAAGAAATTAGAATAAATCTTATAATTTTAATTTTTTTATTTAAAGTAGAGACAACTTATTATTTTTATATTTTTATTTATATTTAAAATAGCCTCGAAACCTTTGCAGATTTAGATAATTATATAAAAATAAATATTATTAATTATTAATTTATTAAGATTTATAATCATTAATATGCCCCAGTTACTGTACTTAAAATTAAAATTATTAAGTAAGTTATTATATTTATTTATAAAATATAGAAAATTCTTATTACTGTTACTAATTCGCGAGGAAGTATCTATATTTCTAAATAATATTATATAAAAATTAATTAAGATTCTTATTTATACAGTAGTTTAATTTTATTATTAATAATAATATTACAGGATTTTTGCATTAACTTATCAGCATAAAATTAATAATAATAATTTAGTATATTATTTTTTTTAATTATGTAATTTAATAAAGTAACCTAAAACTCTGTAAAAATATATATTATTATTAAGTTTTCTAAAAATATTTAGCTCCTGGAGGAAAAGTTTTTTAATTTAAAAGTAATTCTAGTTAAACTTTAAGAATTTTAAAATATATTTTTTATAAATTTTTTTTAATAACTTTTTTCTCATGGCCCTGCAGACTATATTATTAATATTAAATTTAATAAAATATTTTTTTATAAATTTATATATTTCTTATTAAAAGCTGAACTCAAGATCTTATAAAAATATATTAAAAAAATCTGAAATTAAATTAAATTTAATTTTTTAAGAGTCCTGCAGGGGCCCCTATTCTTTTTATATTAAAAAGAATAATAATTTATACTTTTGTATAGATTATAGAGATTTTAATAAAATTTTAATAAAAAATTATTATTGTTTATTTTTTATTTTAAAGATTCTTGACAGGGTCTCAGGCAGTAAATATTTCTTAAAAATTAATATTAAAAATATCTATTACTGAATTTATATTAAAGAAGGTAATAAATAAAAAATAATATTTTATATTTAATATAATTATTTTAAATATATTATTATACTATTCAGACTAATTAATATTTCTATAACTTTTTAAAATTATATATATACAGCACTTCGTGGACTTCTTAATAACTTTTATATAATATATTTTAATAATATTTTTATTTTCTTATTAAATAAAAAATTCTATATAAAATATATTTACTAAGTGCTAGAAAGATTCTAAAAAACTTAACTTTATATAAAGCTATCTAAATATTTATTTTATTAATTTTAAGTTAAATTCTTAAAATATATTATTAATGTTACTGGAGTATCTATAGATTTTTAATAGATAAATAATATTATTTTATAATTAATTTTTAAAAGTTATTATAATATTCAGATCTTTCTAGAATTATGTAACTTTTATTATTAATTTATTTAAAATTATTTTTAAATTATTTTATCACTTATCTTCTTACTTTATAGAGTAGTTAACGGTTAAAAATCTAGAAAAATCTATTTAAATTTATATAAATAACTTGTTTTTTACTGTCTGATTGTTATTTTTTAGTAAGTATTTTTACTAATATATTTTAATTTTATGAAATTCTAGTGTTTAGAAACTGATGTATTAAAAAAAAATAAATAATATTTTATTTCAATTTAATAATAAGAATATATTTTATCTAATTATTTTCTGGTTTTATAAATTTTCTAGTACTAAGTTAAATTATAATATTTTAAATTAAGAGTTATTTATTATTATTTATTTTTTTTAAATAATAGTAATAGTATTTTAAAAATATTTTTTAAATTATTAAAATCTTATATAATTATTTAAATTTGCAATCTTTTATGTATCAAATTAAAGTTAATAAAAAATAAATTTAATAATTTATAAGTTTAATTTTTTATAATTTTATTATTAAATATAAAATAGAAAAATTAAATCCAGTGGATGGACTCTCCAGAATACTTTTAAAATTTTAAATAAAATCTATTTTATAAGAAAAATTATTGATCCTGATCTGAGAATAATTTATTAATATATTATTTCTAACAGTAAGAGATTTAGTTAAAGAAAAATCTTAGTTTAAATTTTAAGATATACAAGGTTACCTTAAGTTTAATATCTGTATTATATTAGATTTAAAAAATTTTAATAATTAAGCTGGTATAGAAACAGCTGACTAGATTATTTTAAAAAAAATTTATCTTAAAAAATATTTATTTTTTAATTTATAATATCATGAGTATGTACTGTAGAAGTTCTATATTTAAAAATATATAATTTTAAATTTTAAAAGATAATTTTATATTTATAGAATAAAGATCTAGAGATATAATAATAAAAAATTATTATTTAATAAAAATAACCAGGCCAGAAGTACTGGACAGTAAAAATTATAAATTATTTATATTTTAAAGATTATTATTATATTTCTTCTTCTAAAATATTATATCAGGCACTTAGTTATTTATATTATAATAATCTGCTAATAGGATATTTTAGAAAGATAAAAATAAAAATATTACTATATAAAAAATTTTATTAGAATAGATTATATTATAATATAACTAAATATGTCCAGACTTATTTAATATATTAAAATAATATTATTTTAAGATATTAATTGTATAGTATTTTTAAATCTTTATTAATTTTATCTTATTTTTTTAATAAATTAATAATAGATTTTAATACAGAACTGCCCCTAATTATTTAATATAAGAAAACTGTTAATATTATTTTTATTATTATTAATTAATTTTTAAAATACTATTTTTTCTTCATTATTTTATTTATAATAACTGCTTTAGATCTTACAGAAATATTTTATAAATAAATAAAATTAATTTTTAGACTATTATCAGATATTATATCTGACCGGGGGTTAATCTTTATAAATAAATTTTAATTATATCTAATTTATAACAGTTATATAATCTTAAAGCTTTTAACTGTATTTTATCTTTAAAATAATAACTAAATAAAATAAATAAATCAGATTTTTAAATATTATTTGTAATATTATTTTAGCTAGTTTAATTTTAACTAGCCAGTAATATTACTAACTGCTTAATTTATTTATAATAATATAAATAATATAATTATAAATATATTTTTTTATTATATTTTATATAATTATTCCCTAGATTTTCATATCAGGATTAAGAATAATTTTTAATAATAAAAGATTCCAGCTGTACAGAATAAGATTAAAAGATTTAAAAAATAAAAAAATAGTTATAGAAGATATAACAAATAACTAGAAAAAAATAAAAGAAATATTATAATAAATATAAAAAGTTATTTTTATTTAAAAAAAGGGATCTAGTTAAGTTATTAATTTAGAATTTATAATTTAAAAAGTTAAGAAAATTGGCCTTAGAATTCATAGAATTTTTTTAAATTTTTAAATATATTAGATTTCAAGCATACCACTTGTATTTATCTAAGAAATATAAATAAATTTATAATATATTTTATATTTTTTTATTAGAACTGTAGAATATTAGTTAATATTATAAAGAATTATTTCTGATACTTGACCTAGATAATAAAAATAAATAAAAAATTGAAAAAATTAAAAATTATTAATAATATAATAGCCAAGACTACAACCTGATTAAATAAAAAGAATAACTAAGTAAATATAATTAATAGATTTTTAATGAAAATATAGTGAATATATAAAAAAGTATTAAAAAATATTAAAAAATATATTAAAAGCTATAATAATTAAAAAAAATCCAATAAAATATTATAAAATAAGTTATAAAATCATATCCAGCTGTTGATAATAAACTAATTAA